CAACGAAAAACTGCGCAAAACTGCGCAAAACTATATGAAACTACGAAAAAGTACGAAAAGCTGACAAAAGCTACGCCTACCGACGGTGCATCGAGCCAGATCACTCAGCGATCTTGTATATGTAAATGATGATATGTGTTTTTTGGTTGTTTTCGTAGTTTTTCTAGTTTTTCTAGTTTCTGCGGCAGCACGCCGGCCAACATGCCAACCTAGTTGCAAAGAGCCATAATACCATCATGAATCGGGTCGCGCAGTACAACTGAGCAAAGCTCCTCACATGCGCCTGCTTTTATTCGCCAACAGGGCTAGCTTGTCTTCAGGAGATGCCCCTTTCGTTTTTGAGAAGCACAAGGTGAGGCCGCGCAGCGCGCCTTGTTCACCTGAGTGGCGTCTTCTATTACAGTGACAAGCCTGCTGGCGAGGTGTAGCGAGCGGCACAATGTGCGAGTCGCTCAGCAGTACATGGCAGTAACAGGCAATTTGCCTTGGCAAGGGCAACTCCTGTAGCCCAGCGCTAGCCAACTTGGCTTTTTTACCCCTCACGGCTTGCGAGGCAGGTACGGTACCTGCTTCAAACCTCGATGTCACCCAATGTATGACAGACTCATCGCTAGAATGGCGAGTGTGCATCCGCAGCGCAACACAATCGTGTGCCTGTAAGCTGTATGCAACGCACTGGGTAAAACCGCATGCAGTGCCCATACAGACTTGCCGGCAGGTGCCAGGGCCCAACCTAGGATAAGGTACAACACCCTCGGGAGCTTAATAAGCGCATCAATGCTCAATCCAGAATACCATACTGAACATCGCGCTGCGTCTGCAAATTATAAATCGAGCCCCCAACATCAGCTTAGTCGAGATCACACCGAGCTGGTTTTGCCTCAAACGCTGCTTCCCATAAGCAAGCAGCCCGGCAAATGCAGCGGGGGCAGTCCCTTTTGCGGCTGCTCCGCCAATCGAAGGCCCTGGGGTCGGCGGGTGCGGGGCCGGCAGCGGCGCACACCGCACCCTGCTGCTGCAGCGCGCCGCTGGGGTTCGCCCGCGGCGGCGATGCCGGCTCAGCCCCCTCAACCAGCAGCCGGCCGTTTCTGGCGGACGGCGGGTTCGCCCTAGCTGCATGGCGCGGCGTGGCGACGAAGCGGCGCGCGGCGGGGTCGACCTCGGTGAAGGCAGTGCAGCTCAACTCACTGAGTGACGCTGCGGGGGCTTCTGCAGATGTGAGCAGAGGACCGCATCTGGCCTGCAGACCTTTTGAAGCTCGCATGTAGTTCTTAGCCACTTGCCGAGGGGGGGGGGCTGTGTGCAGTGCTTCGCTGTCCGGGCGTGGCAGCGGCTGGAAAGCGCGTGCACGTTTCCCTCACGCATGCGCTCGCACCTGCTGGGTGCCGCGCCCCCGCCGCGCGCAGCGCAAGCGGTGGGGCAGGGGCGACGGCGGCGACCGCGGAACGTACTGCGGGCGCGGCATCAAAGGACAAAAAGCGCGGAAAGGTGAGAGAGGGGTGCCCTCACCAGAGAGGTGAGGGCTGCACTGGAGAACGGGCGCGCACTCGCAGCGGAGGACTTGAGGTCAGGGGGTTTGGACACACACACACACACACACACACACGCGCGCGCGCACACACACACACTCACACACACGCGTACTGGCGCGTGCGTTGCTTTCTGCACGACACCACGCACGCGCATGCATTCGCATACAAGTGTGCACGGCCCTTGCTTCAACATCACAAACGCACACTCACCCCTGACAGGCCACAAACCCGGCATCCTGTTTGATGGCGGCCAGAAGGAGCTGAAGAAGCTGCCCAAATCGGGCGCAACCCCCAGGTGGGGGGCTGCCACGCGATTGCTGCTGCCTTTCGGCTAAGCCACCCAGCGCCCCAAGAGCTGCCTGCACCGCGTGCCGCTGTGCGGTGCCACCACCAACCTAGTCCCGGCCCTTTTCGACTTATTACCAGCACAACATTTTTATAACCAAACCAAAGGCACACATGCATCGTGCATGCGCGCACGCACATGCCCACTCACAAACACAAACACGCACACTCTCTCTCTCACACACACACACACACTCTTGCTCACACACATATCCACACACATAAAAACTCGCGTCCACGCCCTCATGCGCCCCCTCTCCCAAACCCCAGCAACCCTGTGGTGTACACCAAGGTCAACCTGGGCACGATCATGGACTGGGTGGAGGGGGGCCGCCTGGACCCCAGCCAAGCCATCACCATGCAGGCAGGCCAGGGGGGGGCGCGCAGTTGGGGGCAGCGGCGTCAGCGGTGCCAACAAGCGAGGCGGCGGGGCCGCGGGAGGGATGCACCCGCAGCGCTGCAGGGCCTCGATGGTATAGGAGCTTGCTCAGCTGAGTGATCAGCATGCACTGGGGAATGCATGCTGTCTGGGAGCTTGCAGAAGCTGAGACTAGGGCTCGCATATGCATTCGGCTCGCTGGGTCCTGCTGTGCCCGAGCCCACTGCGCCCATCCGATGACGCGCCACCACTGCCTCAGGACCTGCGCAACTCTGGGGCGGTGGCGAAGCGCGTGCTCTGGGGCGTCAAGCTCCTCGCCTGGGTGCGCGCCGCTCGTGACGTCCCCGCCCCCCCCCCCCCACACACACACACACACAC